AGCGGTTTCAATTTTTTGGTGAACAAAAACATTGTTTTTCGAAGTATGCCCAGGTGTTTGTTTTAGGATGCCAGCTTATAGGAATACACACCTGTCGGGCGTAGGTTATAAAAAAAGGGGTGCTGAACGCCGCTGCTGAAACAAATATGTAGTCATCTGCAAACGGATCTGTAATTCATGATTTCCGAACTCATTTAACCTTGAAAAAGCCCCCGTATATGCTGATCTCGTAAGCAGAGGCTGTCGAGCACTTAGCTCCCCTCATTAGCATTCTTATCCCGAAATATTCATAATCCCGAAAGCTCATCAAGCTCATTGAGACATGAAGGATGTTATGGTTTTTGAATAGCTGCCCCCGGAGCTCAAGGAGAAACCATTGCATTCTACAGCCAAGGTTTGTGTAGTTAATGGCAAGACGACTCTGAATCTCTTGACCTTACTATCAACAATCATTACGAGCTTAATTTATGTAGGTGCCAATAGCAACCGTATCTGCCGTGAATTACCAACTGATTCCCATACGACTAGTGGTGCTTGCAAGAGGCCAATTTGGTAGCCCAATACATGCGAGTTGCTTCAAAATAGCTCTTCTACTGTTATCAGAAAATTTTTCAAAATAAAATGTCATGTGCCTCGCAGAAGGAAAGTAGAAGTGGGATTTTGTGCACTGCGCATACTGGGTCAAGCACCAGTTCGCGGATTTTTGGTGTAGGGTTGATACGACCTGCTCATCAAAAAAGGGGTGTCCGTGCTAACCTCTTATGGGAACACCAACTTGCCAATTTGTATATTTAATTTTTTATACATCGAGGTCAGAAGTGAATAACAAGGCTTGCTTCTGACCTTATGCAAGGCTACATTTCTGCAGAATAGAATTCTTCCTGGTAGAAAATAACCGGTCCAAAATCGCAGAGGCTGTACCGCTCATCTCTACGGTGGGTGACGAAGGATGATGAAGTCACCTCTCGTGAACGTAGCCCTGCCAAGATTACTATAGTAAGTGACCGCTTCAGTAGTAGACTGTAGCTATCGCCCCACCCAAGCTATTGCGTTCATATGCGTGCAAGACCTCTTTAGCCTCTGCTTTCCTTATTTTTTGTACTTTACCTTGTTTTTCTTGGACCTCTGCTTTCTAACCAATGTTGAAAATTCAATGACAGAAAGCCTACTCCATCCGTAATTTTGAATTTCTCTCCCATCCTCCCCGAGCTTTTTATCTACAGCTCCCTCAAGTGTGGCGTTTGAACTTCTCATGAAAACAAATACTCTAAAGTACAGCCTTTGTTAAAAGGTTGAGCAGGTGCTAGACGTCGGCAGGTAATAATGCCGCTTTTAACGTTGGCAAGTGTCAATGCCAATTCTGTTTCGGAGTAGCGCCTGATAAGTGAGTGGCTCAATCACTCTTGAGCCCTCCCTCGGAGAAGTCCATTCCGTGGCATTCCTTAAGGGCGTGCTGAATCTTTCGATGCTTGCGCAACGGGTCGAACTTTCGCTCTCAATCCTGTTAAGATGTTCCTTGATTTGCAGTTTATTGTCTCATAGACCGATACCAAGCAAAAATGCAAAAACGAGCCGGCGAGGGTGGGCATGCGCCGAAATAGGCTGTTCTGGTAAGAGAATTCCCAGATTCAGCACAAGAGTAGCCCAGAGAGGGAGTTGCGTGTGAAGGCAACGGGTCTGACAAGGGAGGTGTTTCAGGTCATGGCGCGCTTTTTGGAAATGGTTTGTTGCTTGTTGTAGGGGTCCATACAAGGGTCACAAAAATGGGTTTCATTTTTGCTATGCGTTTCTGGGTAGGTCAAAAACTGAGTGAAAAGAATTTGACAGGAATGGGCGGTTTTAACAATGTTAATGGGCTCCGTTCTGCTTGTAACTTCGAGCATGCATAGTTTATGAGGTGGTCACTAATTAGGCCTCAAAATAGATTCGATTAAAGTCAAAATGTAAGTATCATGTGGTAACACACTTGGCATGCACCGACGCAAGAGTGATGTTTTTGTCAGCGCTCCCTTCATGACCATTGCTGGCGGATCGGATGGCGTAGCGGATAGCACGATGGATTCTGGATGGCACGACAATGCGGGACTCGGTTCGGATCCTCATTGCGGCAACAGTTTTGCATCTGTATCAACGCAACGAGAGAACTGTTCCGGAACAAGGTTCTGCTGGTTTGTAAGGTGTTCCAGGAAAGACCACCAGGAAAACCTGGCTATTTGCAGTGAGTGATATATCGTGGGACTCATTAACCACATGTACTCGAAACTACCTTTAAAATTTGCGGAGCATTCTACTTGAGCGGGTTATGGAGGTCTTTGGCTTCACTCTCTTTTTCTTGCGGGTGGGCCGGCGCAGTGAGTTTGCACCTGTAGCGCGACTCACAGCTCTCTCCGTGCGATATAGATATCATTCGTGTTCAGGGGGTCAAATAACCCCAAGAAACGCCACCTTGGAAATCCGAGATTCTGAACGGGCAACTATCGAAAAAATGGCGGTAGAAGATGTCACGCCTGAGATGATATGCCAACACTTACGACTGGCATACTGGTTGGATGGTCTTACTGGTGACTGCGTCTTTTGCCACTAGAAAAATAACCCTTCAGTCATGTCATTTCGCAGAACAATACCTGGCTCACTTGTTCGTGCCGCCTGCATCATTTTCCTGATTACCGGTAGAAAATTCCATCCCAAGACCAGTCATCCATGGTGGGTGGACCCCAGCCTGCTGCTAATTGTCCATAGAATGGCCCACATTTCCCCAAGTTGAGTTCGAAAATATAGTCAGATTTGGCTAGAAATTAGTCCCCAGGGGTAATCCAACCCGCTGAACATAAATGTGATGGTATTTCATTGCAATAACCCTTTCTGACATGAGCTACGAGGGGCAGCACAAGCACGCTTTCAGGCCACAATGTGGCCACAAGTATATGCCTTCATCATTGCTGACGGTGGGCGCTGTTCAGCCTAGGTATGAGTGTGCAATACCGTTCTCAGCCTTTTTCTTGAAACGCGCATGCGACAAAAGGTGGTAGAAAACGAGTAATACGAAGGATATAATACAGTAATGTCACTTGCCCGCTCTCCACAACTGGGCTGCAGAGCGAATTTGGCATCCGCGGCAAATCAGCCGCCCAGTTGATTCCGCACCGGTCCGCCACTGATGAGGCTGTATTATGCTTCAAATCGCATATTACGCTGCATTATAAGTTCCTGCCGAGACACAGCCCGCGTGAAGGGAAAGCTGAGAACTGCAAAACGTTCTCGCGAAGAGGATTCCGATGCCACAACAGTCCCTTGCCGTTTGCCATCAGAAACCGTTCGTGTATATCTACTGCGGCTCCGATCCGCTGGCAGTGGTCGTGAAGGGTTCGCTGACAAAAACATCACTCTTGCGTCGATGCATGCTAAGTGTGTTACCACATGATACTTACATTTTGACGATTTAATTCGGATATATCGACATCTTATTTCCGGAGGCCTACATTAGTGACCACCTCATAAATCATGAACTATGCTTGCTCAAAGTTACAAGCAAGGGGCCCATCAAAAGATTGTTAAGACCGCCCCCTTGTGCAAATTCTTTCGCTCAGTTTTTTGACGTACCCAGAAACGTTATAGCAAAACCGACCATTTTCCCTTCTATGCTCTACCGAACAAGCAACAAACCATTCCAATAAACCGCGCCATGACCTAAAACACGTCCCTTTTCGATGGGATTAAAGGCAGGAGAGCGTTTCCGGAACGGGCGCGACTACGCTTCAACACTGATAAATCTGTTCGGTTGAGTGTTTGCGGCTGGAGATACGCGGCGAATGCGGTGTGAGTTGAATCATTCAGTTGTTTCACACAATTTTTCAAGCTCTGATAGCGACCGCTGCAGAAAAAATGTGCGGACGAGACAGATGTTTCCTCCCTGAGAATCATTCAACATCACTCTCTTTTATGACTAAACTTACAGAGAACTGAGAAATCGTTTCCAAGCTTTGCTTATTTGTTTTCCCTTAGAGTCCTATGTCCATTTTGTGCATCTGTCGGCAGGATGCGTAGCGCATTCCCTTGGAAAACACTCCTGAAGTACAGTCTCCTTGAAAACCAGTAGTGGAGTTGTCAGAGCGTTTGCAGCATGAAAATGCAGAAGAGCTCGGGTGGTCATCCAGTAATCTCGCAGGAATAACAAGAGAACCTTGACGCCCACTTATCCCTCTCTCCTCGAACTGGCAGCCGCCCACAGATATGCAAACGTCACCCGCTCACGGGACACTCCAGGACCTTCCACTGGAACGCCGAAACATACAGTGTATATGCGCTAAGATCTTGTTTTAATGTGTTGTGACGCTTTTCCAAAGTATGTTCATCACGAAAACCATTCATTCATTAGAACATTACGCAATGTTCCAGAATACATCACAAAAAGAAACCGCAGAAAAGAGAAAACCGAGTAGTGCATAGTGTTCCTCAGGACACTTTCTGCAGTTATGCTAAAACTCTGCACAACCCACCTCTCCCAATTCCTACCACTTACCTCCTTCTCAGACTGGCCCTGCTGGCTCCGCTCATATCGTTATAAATACAACAACATACTTATAACATGCTGGCAGTTCAGAGGAACATTCCTAGTTGATCACATGTGCGGAGTCAGTAGGTTGGGCAAGGGAGCTCTCATGACCAGTGCGCTCCTCAGGAAACATTCTGCAGCTATGGTAAAATTCTTCAGAACGCACCTCTCCCAATTCCTGCCACTTGCTTCCCTCTCAGACTGGCCCTGCTGGCTCCGCTCATACGATCAGTAGAGCATGTTCCTCTGAAGACCAAATCATTACACATTTCCCGAGCTTTATTTGATTCGTGATATGATACGCTCGAAATGAAAACAGAAGTGAAAACTGCAGTCACCATTCCGAATATGACAGTAATCATTGGAAGTAGAGGTGTCATATTGATACGAACGTATATTCGATAGATGGTGCAAGTGATTCAAGACAATATCAAACCATCCGAATTCATTATGTCGACCGAGTCGGCCTGTTCCATGTGCGTGACAACTGTTCGAAGTATGCAGTGGCTGCTCCACGATGGTCGTTTATTGTTCGGTCCAACATGGCCGCCTTAGTTTTCGAGAACTGAGGGAACGTTTCCAAATCGATGACACCGAGAAAAACCATGAAAATCAGGATGATAACGTCGAGCCAGCTGAACAGATTTTTATGACTCAACTCGTTGTCTGGAGAAAAAGAAAGAAATCACATGAATGACCAGCTCTCAACTTACACAGCGAAGGTGATATCTATTAGACCATAGCACATTTGACGCCAATGTGGATAGCCCATGACAACTTTCGTTGAGAGTGTGAATAACGAACAAGTGATAGTAGCCCCCACTGCTAGCACTATCGAGAGTATCATCAAAATCTAAAGGAATCCACAGTAAGCAAAGTGGAAACAGGGGAAAAATGGTGTGAGGCTTGGCTAAATCAAAGCCGGTGAGATAGAGTAATTAAGAAGAGACTTAAAGGCAGTTGGCACGATGGTTTCCTACTTAGCCTAAAATGCTAGTAGGGCGCTGTATAGTGGGGAAATGGCGAAAGAACGGAGTGAAACGGTCAAAATCCTGCGAAGAAAAGCCTCCGTTCTCAGTGACTTGAAAATCGATTTCGGACGAGTTTCCCGTAGGCATCTTGCCAATACCGAAGATACGGCTGCATATGTGTACCCATGTATGCATGCAGCATCACGGCCGCTTCATACCAATCCCTTCGCTTCATAATTTGCTTAGCAAATGAATGAATACGAGCGTCAGGAACGGTCGTCCATTTGTGGGCGGGCGGGCGTGGCGGGCGTTTGGGACGTAAAGTTGTGGCTTGATAGGGCCCTTATAAGGGCACCTTCCTCGGGGAAACCGCTATGCAGCGCCTGCCCAGGGTCGCGGAATTCTATCCTGCCAGGAGTATTGATCCTAGTCTCTTGGGGATTTATCGTGCCAACTGCCTTTAAGGTGATGTCCACTAGGCGCTTAGGTACAGAACTCGTCAGAAGTCATTTAGGGAAAATTCTCTTTTTCCACTGAAGAATCACGAATTTTCCGAGGAACGTGTAGCTGGTAGGAGCCAAGAAAAGCTCAGCATGTTTATTAGTAGCCAAGAAGCAGAGTGCTCCACGAAACGAATTCTCCCCGCTGAGGGGTCTAGACAATACCATAACCACTCCAGTTTCAGCAAAAAGTTTTTAAACAAAATGTAATGCAAATCTTGAAGTTGTCGAACGAACAACACGTATGCCGAAGCTATTTTTTTGAAGTAATAGGTCATTTGCTCGCATTGCAGATTGCAACACGGTAATAAGAGAATCCGTAAATGCGAAAATGTCTTCAGGGAGAGCCGGTCAACTAAATATCCATGTGCCTTCGATCCAGTTTGTCGTCCCAATCACAAAGGTTGAGTAAGAAGCAAAAAATTGTTCCTCGAGAGCCCTTCAAAGAATGAGCGACCCTCATTGTGAGTAGGGCTGCGATGTAATCATTTGATAACCAGCTGATCATTTTAGATATATTGTTGCTGAAATTCAGATTCCCACCTTCAAAACTCTCAAATTTTCCGTCAACTGATATTTGGTGCTGAGAGTATAGCACACACTCTCCGGATGTACATCTTGATTTAAATAGCGTAGTCTTACATATTCTCGACGAAACAAAGTGACATATGCTAGACAAGAGAGGATTAAAAAAGTAGCTGAAGACACGGCTAAAGTAACGACACTGAGGAGTCCTGAAATAGAGTTTAATTAGAATGAGCAAGAATTTTCTGCATATATAATGCAATTGCGAGCCCTTGCAACGCCTGGGACCTATTTTGGTAACTGCTTGGTCAAGCTGATTGAATCCTTCCGGGAAACTGTCTTGTTTTCCGCAAGTATGTGAGACAGATGACATCTTCTAAGAGAAAAAACTCATTCAGAAGGAGGAACTTGTCCTTTTCTCTTCTTTGTTGCTACTCATACGACTGGGAAATTTGTTATGCCACCAGTATGATTTTGAATTGACACGGCCGAAAACGCAAGAACTTACCTAGCACACTGTAAACGGCGCCATTCAGTGCTGATAAATAAACGCACATTATGATGACCCTGTGAATCCACGGCCTGCTGATTCTCTCGTAATCAGTTATGTATTTGGAGGCAAAAAATCGTTCGACTATAGCCGAAGGCAGATATAATGCTACAACATTTGCGAACCACAGACGAACAATGCCTGCGCCCACGATTGCAATAAAAAATAGGTTTCCTGAAATGTTTGAACAGAGACGACACTCAGACTTATTTGCAATGACAATTTCTTATATGTTTTGAACCTAGACCCGTGTTGACTTGAAAATTCCATGTAATTTTTTCCAGATGAAGCCCCCAAATGCACCTGCTTGCAGGAGTGTGAGCAAGGAGGAAGAGCTTTTCCCAGTGTAACGCAATGTAACTCCAATTTCATAGGCAATTTGCGGAAAAGTTTTTATGAAGTACCTTCGGCTTTCAGAATGCTAATCTCATAGAGAAATATAATAGCACGAGCCAAAACGTTGGGATAATAAAGGATGAGTGAAGCCTGCAAATATCAGGACATTGCTGACTTGTTCTGAGATTCCAATGTAATAAAAAAAATGTACAAACGCCCACACACCATGTACTTCTAACGCTAGCAGCCAATAGCCTGATAGCAGGAATCTGAGACAAAATTCACCTCAGAAATATGGTTTACACACCCAACCAACTTCCAGAATTAGTAAATTTTCTGGGCCCTTGACTAGGAGTAAGTTCCTACGGCACATAAAACGGTAACAGTCAACAACGAGAAAGAGATTTCCTGACGAGCGGCTACTCCTTTTCCCACAGCATGCAAATACGACCCTGCGGTTTGGTTTCACACATAACAGGCTCTGATCCGCGGCCTAGACAGCCAATATAGTCTGACATCTAGCAGCCTATTTTTTGATACTGAATTCTTTGTCTTTGGTCCATTTCTCTATACCACTGGCCGCAACCCAGAACTCCGATAGACCGGAATAAAGTGGAACTAAGGTCAGCAGAGGGTCGCCGGTGAGGATTGCGGGGCAAAAACATTGTGGGCGGAGCCTGCTCCGAGGTGGGCGGAGCCCCAACGAAAATTCTCGCTACAACTGTTCCGCAGAGCACTTCCAAAGACGGCGAAAAGAAAAAACGTGGATTAAGTCAAGCAGAGGTCGCCGTGAGGATTTGTAGGGCAATAAACATTGGGGCGGAGCCTGCTGCTGAAAGGTGGGCGGAGCCAGACAAAAAGGAGTCTGTAAAACGGTTCCAGAGCACTTTGAAGACCGGAATAAAGTGAACTCAGGTCAGCAGAGGGTCGCCGGTGAGGATTGTGGGGCAAAAACATTGTGGGCGGAGCCTGCTTCGAGGTGGGCGGAGCCAGACAAAAGGGTCTGTAAAACGGTTCCAGAGCACTCCGAAGACCGGAATAAAGTGAATTCAGGTCAGCATGGGGTCGCCGATTGAGAAATGTGGGGTATACATATGTGGGCGGGGCCAGCCCGAGGTGGGCGGAGCCAGACGAAAGTTCTGTAGAACGGTTCCAGAACGCTTCAGACACCGGAAAAAAGTGGATTGAGGTCAGCAGAGGGTCGCCGGTGAAGATTGTAGGGCACAAACATTGTGGGCGGGCCTGCTCCGAGGTGGGCGGAGTCAGACGAAGAATCTGTAAAATAGCTCAAGAGTACTTCAGACACCGGAAAAAAAGTGGCAGATACACGAAACAAAGGCGGATATCAGTTGAGTGTAGAAATATGTGAAAGAAAATACGCGCGGCGAAGCCGCGCCCGCCCGGCGCAGCCGGGCCGTATCAGAAGGAGGCACGCCGGCGTTAGCCGGCGAGCCGACTGGTTATTATAGTCTCGCTACCATAAGCCATGACATCGTACATTTTCTCTTCCGTGGGTGACCCTGTTCCCATACCGAGATACCGTATACTATGACTGAGCAGCTACATACCGAGGGATTCTCCTCCTCGTTACTCAACCTCGTCGACTTGGTAGGAGAACAAAAATTACAGAGGTCGAGAAAGGGTGTAACGGTTACGGCTTAACACCGTACTCATCCTTTCTATCAATTTTAGGGTCCCTACCAAAGTGCTCTTAACATTCTGCTTTCAGAATTTAAAACTCATCGCAATGAAAGTGTTGATCTCTACGCACCAAGACTACACAGACTTTTACTCATGGCGAATGGTGAAGGGACGGGCGGTGAACGCGCTGGTGGAGAATTCGATATGCAGGTGTTGGCAACAACTGTGATGCCGCGACATCAATGATAAGTAGAATTTTTTTACCGAATCCAAAATATCAGCTCAGTTTTGTTTTTTTTCAGTCAGGTTCCCCATAGGTCCTGAGCTCATGCCAAGAACTGACAGTTGATATTGGGGAAAGCAAGTATGGAAAGAAAAAATCCGTCTAATCTAATATCCGGCTAATCCGTCCAAATGCAGTCCTGCTCTGAAACAGTGCCGGATTTTCTTTTGCATCCTTGACCCCAAACATCCGATGATAGGGGCGGGGGTGGCGGTGGAGTAATGGTAGACGACAGAAAAGCAGACTTCCGATCAACAACATAAGAAACCAGTGACACTGGGGCACCAGAAAGTGGAGCTGGAGAGACGGGGTATAGCGAGTCTGAAACTGCAAAATCGATCATAAGAAAAACTCCAAAGTTTTCAGTATGACCTCTCTCCCTGAGGACCGAATGCGTCTTGACCGCCTTGAAGTCTAAAACAGCTGCGAAGCCAGGGATTTCCGTCTCGATAAATAAAGACTGGGATTGTGAAAGTGCTAGTGCTGTTGTTCCACTGAAAAGCGATTGTTCCAACCAATAATCATTTCTTCTAAAACATTTTGTCGAAATGGTTTGCAACGAATTTTAGAAACCTCTTCCCAGTTCTTCTCCCAACAGGAGTACTCTCTTTTTCATTCTATGGGTACGGTTAGTCGAATGTCGTTCAACTAAATAGATATGTGGTTTTGAAATAGAGTTAAATGCCGTGTGCATCATTTTTGAGGGATGCCATCGAGGTGGAAGTGATGTCGCTGACCACAATTTTGCACTTCCCATGATCCCCATGATGTTCCTTTGCAGAATAGCAACAAGGCAAACTTCTCAAATGTCTCAGTGCACTTCAATGCTAACGAAATAATATGCTACAGTAGTGTTACAGTAATCCTCCATATGACTTTGAAATGAAGGCAACTGAACTGAATTGAACTCACCTGTGTAATTCGTACGAGATTCTTGTGGAACAGACGACTTCTCTCGAAAATCCGAAGCAAAAATGGAATATATACAAAAGGAAAGAAGAGTGCCACAAATTCGATGGCGAATAGAAACCACGTTACTGAATAGGATAAAATCGAATGGCTTGGGCTGGCCATAGTCACTTTGAAGTGCACCTTTCCAATGGTTACATCCATTTCATTTTTCCTTCCTAAAAACGCCATGGATATAAAATGATAGAGACTGGCGCCTAGGACTACCGTGTTAGCTACATGGACTTTTATCTAAGCAAAAAGCGAGAATGAACTCCAAGGTGGGTGACTAAATTTCAGCTACGATAATTTTCGGATGATACTGTATCCCGATTTGGACGAGGAGTCCGCTTGAATACCTCTCCAGGGATATTAGCGCGGGAAGTTCATCTTGCAATTAGCTGTTTTGGAAAATAATGACTGTCGACTCTTTTACTTGTGCCAAACGGGCTTTTCAGATGGAACTTTCACTAGCCAGACGTTCTAAACCTTTTTGCACGAGGCTTGGAAGAGGCCGAATCTTTGAAGCCTAAAAGGCTAGCCATCTAAGCGCCTTCACCCTCTAGTATTTTCCGATGTCGTGGTCGAGAACCAACTTCCAGGATAACATGACAGAGGAATTATTCAATCACCAAATTTCTCGCCTAAAATTACGGAGAGTAGCTCACACTGTGTTAGTAAGCTTAGTAAGAGCAAATGAGCCTCAATCGCCGTGCCTTAACTGTATTTCCCTTTCTGATACAAACGGCATGAATTCATTCGTAATCAGACACCGATTTATGCAGTTCATGTCGCCTGTTTGTTCTCAGCAAAGCCCTAAAATAACTCCCACAGACTCTCCTCGATTAAGATTTCGGCCGCTTCTGGTGCACTTTATATCGAGTTATTTTTCCGGCGAGCTCTTCAAACTTAGTGCTTTGCCAAGACAACCAGAACACGCTATGAAAAACAGACTACATAAAGCTCTATCGGAACTAAACTCGTCACGGTGCACTGAAAACAATGGTGAGCCAGTTAGTGAACAAAGTCTTCTCAAAGTTGACCGACGAGAACAAATTCATTCAACAATTTCGCAGTTTAAAATTAGGAATCATTTGCGTGGACGAGTCATTTCAAGTGGCCTCACTCTACACAAATGCCAAAACTAACAAGCGCTACAGATGACATTCGAAATATCGAATTGGCATGTTGCTGCCATTGAGACCTTCTTACTAAATAAGGTGCATATCATTACTCTGATCATTGATTTTTCTGAGGAACCGCTCAGGAATATTCAAATGGTCGGACATATTAACTCTTCAAGAGCAGGAGACCGGCCATTGAAGACGGCCGACTAGCACCCGTACTTGCTGCTACTCTATGAGCAGGATAGAAGAACTGGGTCGCTTTCCGTTGAAGTACAAGAGACACAATGACTACTGCTTCGTTGGAACATCAACAAATCCAAAATGGATGAGTGCTCCCGATCACTAGATGGACAGTCCCAGCACATGAAGCTTACTTGAGAAGTATGTACCTGAAACGCTAACGTAAAGTGGTACCGCAGAAGCTGTGAGAGTATCCTAATTCATGCGACGGAGTCACATTCTGCTGCCATAAAACGATCAACCATTAAGTTTATGCTCACGACCGTAACCAGAATGCACAGTGACGATGAAAAACGGCTGGAACCGAAATGTCTAGCTCCGAAAATAACGAGAACGGCTACGCGATACATGAACATCAGAAAGCCCCGTTCTGCGAAAGGTTCCGAAGATCCGCTACTATTAAACGTCAAGAGGAAACTATCCTCAGGCTTTCCGTTCTTTCCTGTAGAAGTCCAGCAGCTGCAATACGCTGCGCTCATGTGACAGCGACAGCTACGCAGTGTTTGGACAACAGACTGGTGCTGTTTGCCTATAGCGGAAGATATAGGAGAAATAATAGAAGGATGGGTTAATTCATTCACTTTCATATAGAGATTGCCAAGCAGCACGTTATATCGGATGAAGCTATGCGCGGCGACTAGGAAAAAGCCTAGTTTAAGAAAAAGGGCATGGTATTACAACTAATCCGCTTGTAGGCATAGGTATGAGAAACACTGACTTCGATGTAAAAGTGGGCACCTACAGTGGAGCACAAGACCGGTTTTATCAGGCGAACCCGCTAGAGTTACTTCGGACTGCCCGCGAGAAATCAGAAAATGGAACTGATGAAATGAATATCCGTTGACTAACGGGTGAATTCTTGATGTTTTTATGCAGGAGTGGCGAAGCTTGTAGTAGTAGGAGAAACATAGGACTCGACTTAGACTCATCCGCTTTTGCTAACGTTACTTACACTCCGTGAGCTACGCTCCGCACTCTGGTACCAACTACGGCGAGTGATCGTTCTCATTACAAAGTTATTCTGGTTTGTTTCCGACACTACATTGAATACGCTAAAGGACTGAAGGCGCTTGATGAGGTAGCTTGCAAGCGAAGAGGTTCGAGCCACTTCCAGGCTCCTGAAAAAACGAGAAGGCTGGAACGTCGAGCCAATAAAAGCTCCATCTGACAACCTAGCTTAGCAGAAGCAAATAAGATCTGACATCATACCGAGCACTAAGAAAGGATGACGTAAAGAATCATGACTGCCTTTCCAGTTGTATGCAGAGCAGAACATGCAGAGACCGGTTAACGAAAATGAAAAGTGCCGGACTAATGGAAAGGGCTTGTGTGTTGGGTCTCGAAGGCGCAGTAGAGGCAATGTATCCTCATATAAGGAAATCCCTCGCGAAGATCCACCAGGAGAGGCCCTGGAATTGCAGAGTTATAGACGTATTTGAAAATTTGCAATAGGAAGGCAAAATAAGGCAGTTCTTTTGCCGCCAACGGGGCGTTCCGCCGGAACCTTTGCGCCCGGGAGTGACGATATTTACCTCGAACACTCTCATGAAAGCCACCAAAGATTTTTATCGATCTAGGGAAGATTCACAGAAAGTTCAGTTCAATATCAAAATAATAGGCGACCGTGCTCCCACAATGGCCCTCCGGCATAAATTCCCGTTGTTCCCCCCCCCCCCTCCCCCCTAAGGTCCTATAAATATAACAGTTCGCAACTAAAAATCTTCTTCACCGCAGTTGTAGCAATGGGCTCTGAGTAAGGAACTGGAATGAGCTAACCCGTGGTGTTATTGGTAGAACAAGGAATCTGGGGGAGGAGAGCAGGCCCGACGCATTCCGCCCATCTTGACGATGTCCCTACTGATTGTGACGTTTCAAAAGTAACGGTGCTGGAGGACGGATGCGGCGAGACCTTCGCTCGGCAAAGAGGACTGTACTGACATTGCCATTCCATTCATTCCTATGCTGTACTTTGTGTTCAAAGGCCCAGGTGTCTTGCTGTACTATAAAGATGGTTCCCAGGAATTCGCATATTGCGAATTCAACGCTATTAATTGTGCAGCTGCTTTCATGGCAGTGAGCAAGGTAAATTAGTTCCGATGCAGAAAATGGAAGCGAGGGCACTGAATAGTACGACAGTAAATCAAAAACGGGACGAAACGGCCGAAAGCGCCCGAACTAGAGCCATTATTAATCACTTCATTCAGGAAGTGTACGCCTGAGGTAAATCACCGCTGAACAAAGGTCAATGTAAAATAAACAACGACTGCGAAAAATATGTAAAGAATAATTTCGAGCGTAGCAAACTTCCCCGTAGCAACAAGGGTCCCAACAGCGACAAGAACATACATACTAGTAACATTCTCACGAAGCGGCTGTCAATGATTCGCAGGAATCAAGTGAAGAAAGCCAAATAAGAAAAAGAAACGAAAAACCCCGAAACGCCCACTACTTGCAAGAACACCTTGCACTCTGCCAAAGTGAGATATGTCCTTCACCAAGTAGCAGCTTAATTCCGGGAAACGAGCCCCAAAAAAGGGAAGGGAGCGCCATTCAGTCCTTGGTAGCGGGTGAAAACAGCTGATCCGGTCGTGATCAACTACTGGTCTGGGGCCATTTGGCAGAGTTCAGTATTGGTTTAAGCGACACAAAGACGTGTCAAGCTTGAACCTCACACGCAAGCTCTTAAGTGAACACCTCATTATTTATTTGTTATTATTATCTACTACATGTAAAAAGGGGCATGAGGTGTGTTAGCATAGTTATCACTAACCAATAACAACGAATTCAACCATAGTTTGCAAACGAAAATCAGCAATGATTAGAAAAAATTAAGAAAAGAATAAAAAAGATAACCGATCTGTGAAATCTGTCAAATTTCAGTGTCAAGCCTAAGTGAGCTATCCTCCTAGACAATGAAAACTTTTGGAGAGCCTTGCGAGTTACGTAGCAGCCCGCAGAAAAAGAACTCAGCTCTTAAGCTAGTCCTGGCTCTTGAAATGAAAAACTTGAACTCAGCCCCTCCAGCATTACATGGAAGGAGGGTGAAGAGACTTTTCAAATTAATCGCTACCTGTCTGTGAAAATTTTGAAAAGAGTCAGCAGCTCTAATAAAAACCAAATGATGGGTAACTGAATCAGCCCATTCACCATCACCAGTACTACGTCGGTACAGGAGGATTAACTGAGGTCACAGAATGCTCGCACACTTTTGCTGAGCGTCACTCCTCCTTATTGGAGAACATTGAAGGCTTGACTCAAGCAAACGCTCCCCCCCCAAAAGGGCACCCTGTGCGATTCATCTTTGCGAAGCTGAAATACTCTGCTCCAGATCGCTAAACTGAAGCCGTCTGAAAAGAGACAGTTCTGCTGACTCATATACATATGTTACGAATCTCGAGCTTTTTTCCTAGCTCTCACTACCTCTTTCACGTAACGAAAACGCTCGATCTCGTCACCATGGCAGTCAGTTTTTAGGCTCTAAAAATCGAATAAAAAATTAAATGAACATAAAGTCATAGCAAAGTCACGCAAAGATCGTGAATCACTCAAATTTTTATGTTGTAATAAAAAAGTCTCACATCACTAATGAACCAACCCGGTAGTTTGTAAGTCAATTCACTCACACCACTAATGAGCCAACCCTCTAGCTTCTATGAGCAAGAAAATTATTTCTTCCGATAATACGGAAAAATCGATGTAGAGTGAGAACTGCTTCGGAGTGCTAGTCACCTTGTGGGAGGGGGGGAGAACTGAAAAGACTCTTCATGCACATGGAGGTTCCCTGCAATGGGTACGATGACTTTTGCCGTGGCATATGTAAAAGGAGAAGGGCTCACGGCTAAAGACTTCAAAGAAGGGCGCTTCTAGTTGTATGATGTTATTCCCTGTTTTGTGCGGAGTGTCCTCCCCTTTCCCTCCTCCTAGTTACATGCGCCATTCAGATTGCAAGGCTTGACTCAGGGCTACTAATAGCGCTGAAATAGACTGAAAAATCACTGTGCTACTTCCTCTCTGGTAAATGGGACTTCTTATTGTAGAAAAGTTTTCCCCAACAGAATAGATTTCTCACGTCACTTCCCTGGAAAGAGAAAAAACAAAGGTGAACCGTGAAATCAATATTTACGGTACATTATGTCGATGCGTAATAATCAGATGCAGTCGCCCGTCTTCGTAACAAAACCTCTTACGTGAAACTCTTTGAACTGTGAGTATTGCAACGCTGGCTTTCGAAATTCGACCACGTCCCCATTAATGAGCAACATAATTTGTGATATCTAATGAATTCCTGTGCTGATGAGCGACAACTTATGCTGAGAAGGAACTGGTAATTGGGTCTGATTGGTAATCAGCTCATTCTGCGGCTCCACGCTCTAGCCACTATGAGGTACATCCACGAGCATGAATTATTCTCATTCGCAAATTATTTATGTTCCAAAGGATACAAGTGGCACGTACCATCATGGAGAAAGGCCTGGCTTTCCAGGAAGAGACACTTCATTCCATTTAGCATCGTAAAGACATATTGAATGCGATTTTGTTTAGTCAACGGCATGCACGAGGCGAAGCAGGGGGCAACCCTCTATGGCTATTGGTTCCTAGGTACACTCCTTATCCCTGAGCCAGAGTAGGCGTGGCATTTGAACATGGCACAGAACTGGTTACTCGTGGTATATTCCAGTCCGAGACAACTGTCATCTTGTTCTGTGTTGGGCACAGAGACGACAACAATTGTGTCAAGATGAAAATATCTCACCAGAAGCACAGACACCTCCAGGTTAGGTTGAAGCATGCGGCCACGCCTACCCGATCTCAGGGATTTCGAGTATAGCTGACTGACCCCGAATGAATGGGAGACATGGTTGGTCCGAGCTTGAAACGATCCGATGTTAGGTCCCCGAACCGTCCGCTGGTAAAAGATTTCTCCTCCTACTGTACCATCTTAGCACCACTACCGCTTATAGGATCGGCTTCTACTCGTTATATTTCATAGCGATGCCCCCAACATAAACAAGGAGAATATACTAAAATACAGTCACTCAGTTCCTTCCACTTCCCTCCACTTACTGAACTTCGAAACAATTTTGAACATTCACAGTTCAATGACACGTAGGGAAAAGTTCCGGTCGTGGTTGTGGACCTCAGCTATAAATGCTAAAGCTAAATAAATGAATCAGCAGTGAGGAGAAATTGGTCAATTGGAATTGGACACAAATGCTCTGACTTCTACCATTAAGCGAGAAGCAGCGAGAGGCAAAGGCGCACTGCGGCCTACGGAAAGACCAGAGAACAAGGGTGAGTGAATGGAAATATTATTTAAGAGTGACGACAGTGACGACAGCCACGCTCCAGCGATCCGAAACAGACATGATCGCAACGGCGTGTACTTCCGCGAGGGGTCGGCAATAAGTAGCGTTAATATAGCTAATGCCCGCCGCAGCACGCTCATCATTCAATCTCGAGCTGGCGAAAGGAGCTCAGCCGGTGAGGTAAGGATCCGATTACCTTAAACAAGAAGAGGATTCTATCTATGAGGTGTTACCTTAAACAAGAAGAGGATTCTATCTATGAGGTGATCGCGGAACGTCACTTTGAATGGTCTCCAAGCCTTGCTCCTAAATTATTGTAGGTCTTCATAGCAGTGTGAGGACTCGCGTCATCTTGAACGAGGTGACCCAAAGCTAGTCTCGGTCATTTTTCTATGCTTCACGGTTTTCTGTAGCTGAGCGGCACAGGTAGCGGTGATCCGGCCGTGTGTTCTAATGGCTTCGTTGTCAGCATAGCTCTTCGCGTCCCGGAGGACACAGGAGGGGGGGGGGACCTTTTCTCCCGGGGGGGAAATTTTTTTATTTTTTTTTTTTTCCCATACCTGTTGGACTGCTAGGATTTGTCTTTTCCTCCTTCAGTGAGACCCACGGTACTTGCGGATTAAAATCACAGAGGACCACCATCTCATCTCTACTGAGCAGTCTCCTAAAACCTCCTTCTGACGAGTGCGGGAAAGGGGGACCGATTATGGGGCACCCGGGTGCACAGCGCGCCATCCTTCATGGTATGTGTGATCCATTGCGCCAATATTTTTCGGTAGCCGAGGCCTAATAGGCATTGACGACTGCTGGTTAGGTACATCCGAATCTTGTCGCAAGACTGCGGGTGGTAGACTTCGGATCCCCCTTGACAGCTTCGAGAACGGTGGAGTCTTCCACTTTGTGGGGCCGTCCCAACCGAGGTTTGTCTTCGAGGATCGTGTCTCCTTTCGCGAAGCGAGCGAACCAGTGGTGGACAGTCCTGGTGGTAGGGTGTCCTCCCTCAATGCACTGTTGATGTTGCGGATCAGCTGCCGTTGCTTCAGTGCCGCGGCACCACTCAAAGAAGATAGTGGCTCAAAGCTGTTCCTTTACTGACATTGTAATTAAACGAGGAAAGAGCAGGTGCCTCAATATGCCATTCACGGAAAAGCTCCGAGAGTTCTACAAGCATAGCATGTTACGTCAAGTTCGAGCATCAAGAATCAAAAGCTGTGAGCTATATAAAAACACTGACAGGACCTTCTTTCTAGCCTGATATTTGCCGACGTGGGTGTGGGTGGCATTACTCCACTTCAAAATTTTGGCTGAAAACTTTTTTTTCTGTAAAAATCCCCTTGAAGTTAAGGTTAGGAGGGAACTGTGGTATTTCTGAACATTGATGAGTGGAAGTCATTGAGGAAGTGGCAGGTCTATCGCCATCCTACGAGCACTGTGGACCGCAGAGAGTCGTGACGCAACTTCCTTCTCAGTGGTTCATCAATCATTAAACGTCACACTACATGCGAACTTAGCCAATACTTCCGGGATAGAAGCTGCGTGGATCCACCCTACCAACGAAAATCCCGACCACCGGGGCTCTCCATTCACATGGACCGTGCTACACATCCGTGAGCTCACTACGACTTCAAATCCTAAAGCACACAACATACCGCATGTCTATTCAAAATCTCCCTGCTTCAACGCCAGGGAGCAACACATTACAGGGGCGCTCCTACTTATGAGGTCCCCAACAAGTGGTCGCTAGAGAGAGGGTCCTATTTGCTCATTTACATTTGAGAGGAATGCTCTCGGTTACTGCAACCTTTCCTCCCTACCGCTCGATGGCAGCTTTTCCAAGTAAAATTGGAGATTTCCTGGAAACGTTTCAAAAACTCCGGAAAAAAGGTGGGGGAACGGGGAAATATAGGAAGGTGCTAGGTAGAACGGGGGATGCGGCAGGGTGTCGTACCGAAAGAGGAACCTCCAAGAAGGGGTCGTGTTTCGCGAGAATTTTCTCTAAAGACAGGATGTTTCTTGGCGACTAAACACCCTTAAAAGTACAGTTAGCTATTACACCTTTGGTGACGGAACTGATGCCAGAAGCTCTGATTTCTGAAAAAAAATGGTTTCTTTGAATGGGAATAGTGTCAGGGAATCATAGAAAAGCTGCTCTTGAGTATTCCGTCAGTAGCACTGCAACTGTTAGCTTTTAGGATGGTTGCGCGCAGGAAACTCAAATGTTAATAATATAAAAAAAAACCAGCGCAGTGTTTTGGGAGTAACAAGAGGAGATAGGAGTGGTTCGTTTCTACTCACCATCAGACGAATCATTATGTTCCCGCAACATTCCCCAGGTTGGTCTGCAAGCCAGTCTGTTGGTTAGGCCATTCGTTCTTCCTGCTAAAATCCCTAAGGCAGAAATTAGGAACAAATATTTCGGTCTTCCCTTCCTACAT